AAGTATGCAAGGGACTGTGTTATGCTTGTTCTGAACAGTAAATTTTATCCAGAAATCAGGCAAAACAATACAAACCACTCAGCACAGCTGCAATTCAATTTTTGTCATGTGTCTCCAACAGGTGAGTCCCCACTCCTCCCCCAGCCCACTTCTTTGAATTTCTGCAGTAAGTTTACTTTCTGGACAAGTGCAAATTCTGTAAATAAGATGGCTTATTAAAAAAAAAAAAAACCAAACCCACAGGACAGCAATCTTCAAAGGAAAGTCTTAATCAACACCTCAGGTCTGACTACTTCTATCAGCAGAACTTCTCAAAGACCAACCCAAAACCCAGATGGAGGACCTTGCAAAGGCTTGCTTGTGAGAATAAAGCAAGATGGCTGGTAATTTCAGCCTTTACAGTGATTGCTTGGTATTTTTCCCTGGGTCTTTTTAGATGTTTCAGGTGAAGGACAACACTTTTCCATCTGTATCTCTTAAGACCATGTGAAGGGTGGTGAACCCCATACCCCCACTGCTACAGTGCAGCTTTGGTGAAGAAGCCAGAAGGACATCACATAAAACTCTGGTCATTCAAGTCAGTGTTTCTGCCTGCTGAATCCTAAAATCAGCTGTCCGGACTGACATACAAGACTGAAAACTATCTTCTAGACGTGGCTAGGGTATCGCTGCCTGTCAGAAAGGCAGGGAGTTGTCCTGCTGCTGCCTGTAGCTTGGCAGGCAGGAGATCACTCATTTTACAGGAATCCTGAATGTTGCTTTGCAGGAAAGGAGGCTGGGAACAGACAAGAGGGGAGCATGAAAGACATGAAAAGCAGAACCCAGCAACTGTATCACATCAACAGGAGATGCTCCCTAAATAAACGTCAACAGACAGCTGCTAGGACTACAGGAGAAAGGCTAATTCCGTGGTATCAACCAGGAAGACAGTAACAAATGAAGTCTGGACAGCTCCAGGAAAGCTGATTAACAACAGACTAGCTTCCCTACAAACCAAGAGAGTATTCTTTCCATTTCTAATAACCAGGGATTTCACCACCTTTAAAAGAGATTTAGCTCCACAAAGAATGGGATCAATAGCAGTATTTTGCAAATGAATGACTGAGAAGCAAAAGGAATAACCTATCATCAGTGACTGTAGGCAGGGACCTGACACAGGACCTGGGTTAACCCTGCTTACAGGAATGAGAAATACAGCCACCAGTTCCCAGAGATCAGCTCTGGAATACCTGGAGTTGAGATCTGCAGTGGTGCTTCTGCTCCAATGGATAAGGACTCCTACTCAACAAGAGAATAATTCCAAAAACAACAACAAAAAAGGAACAGCTTCTTAATATTAATTAAGTATACCAAACTAAAATATACCTGTATGGAAGAGGGTACTCCATAAAACAACCCACTGAAGACATTTTAAGACAAACGCTTTGCAAAAATGCTAGCTCTTAAATAAAAATATAAACAGAACCTCAGGAATGGATCCTGGTCCAACACTAACAGGGCTCAAACCCACACCAACAATCAACATAGTAATTTACATCCTCTTAATTCCAAAGCAGAGCAGTAAGTTGAACTGCAGCAGAAGCAAAGAAACTCTGGAACATCTGTCTGTAGTATTAGTCCTCAACTACCAATGGGAGATGGATGAGAAAGTGCTTAAACATAAACCAGCCTGTACAACTGAAGCTAACATCAGCTGTGCAGAAGGGTAACTGAAAGCCACAACTCTTCCTTTTTCTATTAGATTTAGAGAGATACTGCTTCAAATGCATTAGACCCAGTCCACCTCTTCATCAGGCTGCACAAAGCAACCCAAAATTTGAATTCCAGCAGTTCATTCCCTACCTTGCCAAGCTACATTACTTGGCAGAGAAGTGATGCAACAAGAAGTCATTACTCAAGAAAATGAAATTCTATCTATTCATATGGCCTTGAGCATATCCCATTAAGGGATTTGGAGATTCCAATGCAATGTGACATAGATTTGTACGTATTACTCTTTCTTTCTGTATTGTTTCTAAACAAACATCTTAAACATCTCAAAAACAAATCCAAAATCCAAGCTCATTAACACCTTGGGCTTCTTTTTAAACCAGTCATTCCAAACTACCATCCTCAGACATACAAGTATTTTTCTCCTTCTCGCAGAGTGAGATTTGGGAGAAAGGGCAAGTCACACAATGTAAATAAAAAAAACAAAAACATGGACAAATTCAACAGGTTCAGGGTAGGGCTCTTTGATGTTAAGTTCCAAAACAAACAAACAAAACCAGTTGCTACATCTGTTTTAGTTGTTTGTGAAGTAGTATATATTAAAAAAAAATCTCTTTTAAACAAAGTTGCCTTGCAGAGTAACATTTCTCAAAGTGCAAAAAACCCTTTTTTGCATATCTCATGCTTTAAGGTCACTAAATCCAGACCATCTGGATAATAAAGTTACCAACTTAGTTTCCTATTTATCTAATTAAAACTCCTGTACAGCTCATATGGAAAATTTGTCTACAGCTAAAAGCCAACTGAAGTGTAAAAAGCAGCTGCAGGGAAATGATGTCACCGTACAGTGTTCCTGCAGGCAGAGCTGGCTGTCAGCGTATCGGCACCAGGAAGATCCTGGTTTATTGTTAATCTCATCTTTTAAGCCAAATAACCTATGAAAAAAAAAACAAAACCAAAACCAAAAAAACCTATATGGACCTTTCAGCAAAATCCTCCTCTTGCTGAAGCATCAGCAGTATCTTTTCAGCAAGATCATGACTTCAAGCCTGGTATTTTATATTAATATTCTTTTTTGTGTAGAACTGGTCCATTTTTATCAGGAAGGATAAAAGGATAAATCTTTAGCTGCTTTCCCCCCCACCAAAAACACAAGCAGAACAACCATGCAAAGCAGTCTGTCTTCTCTCACCTGCAGAGAGCGACCAAGAAGAGTTGGGTTTGCTAATTTTGATGGTTCTGTAAGTAAACCCGGGTGACAGGGGGACAAGCGTCGCTTTGTTCCAATGGGCAGCTCATGTTTCCACAACCACCACCTTCAGTGCACAATCCTCTGTTGCCAGGTATTACTTTCAGTTCACAAGTCAGTTAGGGATAACATTCACTTTATTATTTTTTGCTCTATAGGGTCATACATGCTGCCATTTGGGCTAAAGATGACCGTGGGGAAGGTGTCCTCCCTCTTTCCAGGAGACCCTGCTCTATCAGGGGGAAAGGGGGGACAGAATTCTTTCACAGGATGAGGATTCAGGCTCAAGCCCTTTGTGTGAAGTTCCCAGCAATGCTCTAGCAGGTCACACATGAAAATCCTATGACAACCCAGCTCCTAGTAACCGCATTTGTGATAACAGAGCATCACCTTTCGGCTGCAGCATCTTCTGTCCTCTGTCCCTCAGAAATAAAAGGCTGCCTCCCCTCCTCTCAGATATAAAGAGGTAATTGTAAGATGAACAATATAGACAACTATAATCCTTCTTCAAGACATGATACAGTGAAATATCATCACAAAATAAACACTTTCCTGCCAGTTTTCAGAGGTTAAAAAACCCAAACCTAAAATTATAACATCATAACATAGAATCATAACATATTAGGACAAAAGGAGGTAAAAAATCTAACGTGCTTATTTCACCAAGTGCTTCACAAACAAAAAAACCTATTTCATCGCACCTACACACCCGCTGGATCTGAATTACAGTTATGGTGTCATAACCTGGAAACAAGTTTAACAACTTGCTATACACAAAACGCGGTGCGCAGTGCATAAATGTGAGACAAAATAGAGCTTCCCAGTGAATTTCAGACTTCTCAATATATGCACGCACACACACGCTCAACCTATATCATATTTATTTTTTAATGGAAATATATATATAAAAATAATTCCAACTGTTGCCTTTTTGCCGCTGGATCATAGACCATACTTAAGCACGATTGCAGTGTCCCAATTAAGTGTTCATTTTGCCACTGTCAACACAATACCATGCTGCAGATTCAATAAATAAAAGCACCCTACATTTTCTCCATACACCCGTCACACAGAGTACCTTGAGATCCTGAGCCTGCAAGTCTATTTTAAAACTAAATCTGTGGATGGGTATCATTGATATATAACAGCGATGAGCGAACCACAAGCGTATTGTAACCAGGAGCAATTAACTTGTCTGGTAAGGATACGCTTACCGACCGAGAGCGGTTACTAAACGTCAGACTGTAATAAAAGGGTTTAGCAATCACACCGAGCAAATAGGTAACTCTTCAAAACTATAAACTAAATAAAATTTTCATTAATTATGTCAGCAAATTTCTCCAAGTCGTTTTGCATTCTTTCACTCACACACTTCACATTGCTTTACCCTACTTGGACTTACCCACTGCATGAAATTATCTTTTCTCTCGTAGCTATCCACGTTTCCCCCCATGAGTAATTAGCAAGCTACATCCCCTTTGACAGAGGGATACTAACAAGCTTCTACAGTTTCCAGTAGGACGAGGCATCCAAAGCTACTAATAGCAAACAAGTCATTTAAGCAAAAAAGGATTATGGACGCTGGTTGCAAGAGGCTAGAAACTCACCCGTATTTCAGATTAAGGCTTTCTGAAGAGCCCTTTTGTAATGAGTTTTGACTCCGTTTTACAAAAATTGTTTTCTTTTAAAAACCAAAATATTGATTGGAATATCTATGAGTAACGTCTTCTTTTGGAAAACAACTAAGTACTAGAAAGACGAAGTGTTTTCCAAAGGGAAAAATGACACAAACATTAGTTTTGCAACAAAACCTCCTTCCTCCTTCTCAAAGTTTAAAGAAAACTAAAGCCACACAAAAACTTTTTTAAAAAGGTTTTTCCATTCTTCGCTACCAGGACACCAAAATAAGCTGCAGATCAAGCCAGAGCGCAGCTTATTTGCAAAATTCCATTGCCAAAACCCCTATAACCACGTCCCTGTTAGATTAAAGTATGTTTAGATGAGCGCGAGCCCCTGAACAGAGCGGCAGAGAGCGGCGTACCTTGAGGACCTCCATGGGTACCTGGGTGGCGGGGGGCAGGCTGGTGGGGACGCTGACGTTGATGGCAGGTGTCTGGCTGACGGGTACTCGCTGCTGCATGAACTGGGCTGCCTGCTGCTTCTGCTGCTGCTCCCGACGCTCCTGCTCCTGCATCTGCTCACGCATGAGCTGCTGTCGTAGCAGGATTCGTGAGGTCATGCTGGAGGAGCTTAAGGGAGGCTTGGAAGCGCCAGGATGCTCGGAATTGCTGTGGGAAGACCAGAGAGAGACAGCTCAGCTTCCACAAGTGGGAATCGCGGTTCCAGCCATCAGAGCTTTCAGAATTACACCAGAACATGGAGCGGGATGGTGAGGATACGCCACACCACGCGAGGGGGAATTTGGAGCCGACCTACTTCAGGTACTTAGCAGCCACATTAGGCTGCCTTAACTTGACTGCTAACCATTTCCAAATGCCAATATCCAGCTGTAAAGAGGTATTTGCTGTTTCAATTTTTACAGCAACCATCCACCAGAAAAACAAATGCTTTTACAGAGAGCAGCAGGCACTCATCTTCCTTTTTTATAGAAGTAATAAAGGGCTGTAGCAAGTCTAATGATAGCTATAGATAATACTCCAGGTCTAAAGATCCAGCTCAAAACTAAACAAACAGATAAATTTACTCTCCTGTGAAAGCACAACACAACAAAGAGCCGTTGTTTTCTGCAAAATACTACCTTGGGCTTGGATTTGCTGGTGGCTACACTCTTCACAGCTAGAAACCAGACCCAAAAAAACACCAACTCCCACCTCCAGGCCTACCAGCATCTTCCGAGCACAGTGACAAGAACAGGCAGAAAAAACAACAATAACGGCTTTATTTCAGTCACACTTCAGAAGACGTATCAGGCTGGCCCAAGCCAGCACACTGCACTGCTTCACCTCCTAAGCGCTGTTTCTCAGCCAGGGGCAAGCAGACCTTCCTACCAGACAGAAGGAGACAAACCACGGGACTTGGAGATGGACTGCAGGGACACCTTTTGAAGAAACCCATCATTTTGTTAGCCTTCAGAAGCAAAATTCATTTATGACATTTCTGTAGCATAAGGCAGAACAATTTGGGTATGTAAACACCGAGTTGCACATCTTTTGAGGGAAGGATGTTGGAAGTGGGTAAGTGTACATGACTGTACAAGAAAGGGCTACAGTGCATATAATTGAGGATATTTGGGGTTTGATTCCAACTGCTGGAACTGATTTCCATCAGCCCATGGAAGGAGAGTGCTCATTAGTCTGTAACAATGCAGGGCCATGCCTGGGGAAGCCAGCAGTAACCCTCCCGCTCTAGCAGAAGACTGCTCTTGAAAATGCCACCTCTGGCTCCCATGCCCAGGTGCTACCTGCAGGATGCTGACCGGAGAGCTTGCAAAGGAGTGCAGGAGCCAGCATCCCTTCCAGGTCTCGCCTGGAGGAGGCAGACACTGAGAGCTACTTGCGCTGGGACAACCAGAGCCAGCGCTGCTGGAAGTGTAGGCTTTGTGTAGGACTGACGTTGAAAACAGTTCAGAGTAGAAATGAAAAAGGAGAGCCCACACTTAGTCCCCCAAGAGATCAAACTCTCCAGAGCACACATTCTGGGGGCAGGGAGCGAGGGAGGGAAAGGACCATCTTGCTATTTAAGACCTGTCAGGTTGAAACATTCGCAGAGACACTGATCCTTTTGATAAAACAAGAGAAAACCTTTGTGGTGAAACTAATGCAGCTGTGGAATAATCGCACTAATTAGCTGCTCAAGACAAGTCATTGACTGTGATACTTGTAAAAAACACCACCCTTTCAATTAAGGGCGAAGCATTCTCACATCCAAACCCAGCAGCGTGTTTCCTGGCTGCACATCTGAACCCCTTTCACATTTCCAACCGAGGAGATGCTTTATTTCCATGCCTAGGGTACTTACAGATCTTCCAATTTTTTTGATCACACACTGCTACCAGGAAAAAAACGGTTGTGCACAGCACCCCAATATATGCATATTTATTTATTTAGGAATTACATACACATATTACTGAAGCATTAATATTTTCTTCCTGCCCACCAAAAACACTGCACACACAACTTTGGAGACCACTGTAATAGATGAGCAAAAACTGGCACTCACATGCTGCTCTTCAGGAAGAATTCATCCTCCTCTTGTTGAGGAAAAGCCTATTTTGTATCCTGTAAGCAGGATTCTCATTTATGTGCTGTTTGCATTTTTTTATAGCTACTTAATGCTGCAAAATTGGTAACCCAGCAGTTCCTCCCACCTTCTTTCATTTTGAACCGTTTCTCCGCCTACCAAAGCCAAGCGTGGTGAAAACCATCTCAGAACAACCTTCCTAGATACTAATATTTTGGGGAATGCGAGGGAGAAGGATGCAGAAATTATTTCCATGGCATTTCAAACAGCCCCTGCCAGGAACCTTATCTCCCTCACGCGATTACTGTACCTACTCACACCAACAACTCAGCAACTGTCCTTAAAGCTTCCTGCAGATGAGTCAGGGGTCTACTTTTGATAGGAAATTGTCAACCAAAGCTTCAAACATTGTGTCTTTAAAAGAAACACCAATCCCAGAAAACGCTGTTCTGCCAAAGTCTTCCCCAGAGGGCAGTGACTTCCAGGTTTTGTTTCTTTTGTAATTCTGCTCAATATTCTAGTTATTCACTGGAAAAGAATAGTTTAGACGTAATTAAGTAGGTACTGCAAGGTTGGGCAATGCACTTTTTAAAACAAGGATCAACAGAAGAGCAGACACCAGCAAGGGGAAGAATAGTCTGATTTTATCCACATCCAAAACTCCAGATTTTGGTGGTCAGATAAGGGGGAAGGAAAAGCTTGAGAGGAGATTACTGAATGTGCTGTTCACCCTTACGTCAAAGGAGAAGCCAAAAGCCAGCGTAGCTGCACCAGAGCCGTGAGCTCAGCAGACACAGCGCTCTTATTTGTGTACGTTGTAATTTTACGCCACGTAGCAGCGCAGAGGCCCTGATGCCCAGACTGCAGCCACTGCCATCAATGCATCCGAGTTCAAATAATGCTTTTATCGGGGATAAAAGCTAGTGCACAACACCTGCCTGCCCGACCAGATGTTCCTGTCTCAAACACTGACAAGGAAACTGGACAAACACAAGGCAGCTCCTGCCACGAAGGGTCCCCGTTATCTATCCCCCCGGGGCTGTAAAGCTCTTTCCGTGGGCAGGGTGGTCTTGCCACACCACATGCTGAAGCAGCACTCTTCCCACTCCCCCTGAGTGACACTCATCAAATGTGGAAAGCTGTTTGAACCTCCGGTATCTCATCCTAAGCCTGTTGCATGCACAGAGCTCCTCCTCTCAACCGTGGGACGCACTGCACAAACCTCCGAGCTGGAATGGAAGATGGTCTGGGTTTCATCATCATCTACCCTCCGGAGAGCAAGCAGGAGAAGAAGATTTGTCAGAAACTCAGTTTTCCAATCAAAAAAGCCTATTAAAAACTTGTTATGTCACAGACTTCATCAAGAGAGTCTGAAAATCTGTATTTTTAAAGCTTCTTGACCTTCACCTGCTGCTGAAAAGGCAGACCTTCTCCCATGATGGAGCACGGTGCTATGTACACAGTACGATCCAGCACCCGGACACGTGGGTTCAGAACTCTCATACGTGAGCTGATTCACCCCCAGATTATGTAGAGTCGGTAACAGAGCCCACACATACAACTGATACACGATGTGATTTAGATACTTCCTGCAAACACGCTTTATGGATACCATTTAATTGCAATAAATGAAACCGACTCATCCTTTTAATTGACATATGATTAAACCAGTTACCCATTAGCAGTCTAATAAGCACGGTGTAATACAGACCGAGAGTTATTAGTTATGAGTGTCATGTGCCAATCCAATTAATCATGAAGTGATAACGTTTCATTAAATAAGTTTAAATTACATATCCTTTGCACAATGCCTGGGAAATGTTAGTTACTGCATACATAAGTTATAATGCAGATGGCAGTTGCATAATAAGAGGCAACTGATCAGATTAAAATCAAGTTCGATTTTGTTGCCATCAACTCAAGAGATTACAGAGACCATACCTTTCAGAGCCTCATCTACCATCCCAGAGGCGTACTGATTATTTCTATCTGTCTCCTTGGGCAAAGAGACAAACCTGTCTTTTGCTGGTCAGTTTTGTTTCCAGATTCTTATAAATTGATCAAACAAGTTCTCTGGTTCACATGCATTATTTATACGAGTTGTCTGGCTTTGGTTTAGAAACATTATTTTGCATTATTTACGTATTCATTAAGAAACTACTTTGTAGATTTTGAACTGGAAAATGTTATTTACCTCAGCTGTATTTTTTAATTATTGGTTTAGAAATTGGTTTCTTAACTTTCTTAATTCTTTCTCAATTCTTTCTTAATTGGTTTTAAGAAGAAAGAAAAAACCTTCAATGTAAAGTTTCTTAGACAAATTACAATAATTAAAAACACAGACCAACTCCTCAAACCCTAAGCTTCCTCAGAGATAAGTAAAAAACAAATAAAATCCATTTTAAAAAAAGCTTTCAAACCCACTTGCTCCAGCGGGATCGACTGCCCTGCTATAAGCAGATAAATAGCATACAAGAGGGAGGCTGTCGCTCTCCTCCATTCATGCCAACTGTTTGTTAATGGGTTAGCCCACAGAGAAATCAGCCAAGAAAAGCAGATTTAGCACCTCAAGAAATCCACTGAGCTGCACCAGATCCTGGAGGTCAGAGGTAAGAAATAACACGGGATTTAAATGCTTGTGTTTCATGTCTTACCCTTATCCCATTCATAATTATTTATAGAGAAGAGAAAGGCATCCACATTTAAGTAGCTGACATTAGCATAAAGCTATCTTGATCTTTAAAGCAAGCAGATGAGAGGTTGCCAATGCTACAACTCAAACGCTTGGCCTGACCTCCAGAAGGCATTATCACAAGAGACCCCCCGCACAGCTTCCCCTTCCTGTTCAATGACCACGAGAGTTTCCCCAAAACTTTGTTTATTTGGCCAGATTGTGTTTTCAGTCTCTCTACCCAACAGTAAGACTCCCAAGAAACTTTCTGTTGTCAGTCTATACATGCGGCTAGAAGTATATATATATATAT